TATGACCATACTAAGAGCTACTGCAATAGATTCTAGTGTTTTCGATTATTGTGAGGTTGCATTATGGTTTTTCATTCTGTTCTCATTTGTTTGTTTTCGTAATGAATGAATTGGCTACGGAAATATAGGGTGAGGTCTCACTCTATGCTTTTATATAGAAGATATTATTGTGGTGGGTGAAGTTCAACGGGGACTCATTTATAAATTAAAGATATGGAGCGAGCATCCTGAAACAAAAATGATTTGAAATTTATTGGAGTAAGATATTGTACTTGAAGTGTCGTTTTTGTAAGGAAAAAGTGCTTGTGGAGATGTGGTTTAGATTGAAGACCTTGAAATACGCAAATGTGGCCGTTTTCAATATTTATGCTTGACAATTCACTAGGGAGGCATATCTCAGTTCACGTTACTCAAAAGATTAAGTTGGTTAGATTACTAGAGAGGTGTCTATGGATTTTGTGAAATCAACAAATTTCTGTAAGAATCAAGTAGGAAGTATAAGAGACTGCTCTAGAACCTGCAATTTCACAGGGGACCACTTCTTGGGCTAAAAAAAAAAATCTCCGTAAGTTTAGTGTGGGCTGGGATTAGAATGTTGAATGGAGTTGCTACGGAAAAAAATAAAAAAAATAAATAAAATGAAGAGATAGAGTAAGAGATGAGCATATAATTGAGTTGGTCAAAGTGACGCTAATTGATGATATATATTATGAGAACTAGTTGAGTTGGTTTGACTACCTTCAACAAAGGCAGCTAGTTTGCAAAGTTAGGAAAAATGGTGGATCTAGCATAAATAAAAACCTTGAGGAAGAGGTTAATCTAAAATCACAAATGGATGATGTCTAATTTTCCAATACTTGATAATTGATATTATATTTACATGTTTTCTAATTTTTGGTTCAAGTGAAGCAGGTGTTAATTCAGAAGCAATAGTTATTGCCTCAGTAAATTAATATGCATATTAATAAATATATATTTATTATTTATTAAGGACCGATTTTTCTGATTAGTGCCTTCTTAATGTTGTCCAGTCATTTAGCTGTGTACATAACATCTTCCTTTTTTTTTGGATGTCATGCTTTTTTTCTGATATCTGTATGTATATTATGGAAAAGCACAGGGGTAGCACACAATCACTCGAGGATTGCTTTTGGGAGGCGTGGGCTTGCCTGTGTTCATCATCAACCCATCTGAAAGTGTGATCCATCTTTGCTAATTCAAAATCGTCACTTGATACAATGTAACAATCTTTATATTGCTAAAGCAACATTGAAGTAGTAACTGTTGCTGTTTGCAATCATTCTTTGCCTTCAATTGCAGCAAAGAACTAGAATTGAACGTGTTATTGGCTTTATTCTTGCCATATGGGGAATACTGTTCTATTCTCGCCTCTTGAGCACAATGACAGAACAATTTAGGGTAAGACTTGCAAGATGCTACCTTTTGCTAAAGCTTATAATACGCAGGGTGACCCACTGACTAGAATTTGGACAGAATAATATGTACAGACTCAGAGAAGGGGCACAAATGCAAGTTTTAGAGACGGATCATATTATTATCTGTGGAGTTAATAATCGTCTGAGCTTCATATTGAAACAGTTAAATAAGTATCATGAATTTGCTGTTCGCCTAGGCACTGCTACGGCTAGGTAATGACTCTACATGAGCCTATATATTTAGTCACACACACACACACAGAATTTTAAATAAATGCTAAATTTGTTTTATCTTAATCCATGTTTGCAGGAGACAGCGAATTCTTCTTCTATCTGACCTTCCAAGGAAACAAATGGACAAAATTGCTGACAATGTAGCTAAAGATCTTAATCATATTGATATTCTAACAAAAAGGTACCGTGAATGTTTTTACCACTATTTGAAGACATTATTTAAACGATATATACGAGACCCTTTTCTAATACCTGAAGTAATAGATCAAGTGGCTCGACAAGATCTGAGTTCAAATATTGCCGCCACCTACTTAATGAAATTGTGCACAGATTAGGCTTTAATGGGAAAATGAAATCCATGAAGACATGGAAGAGCATGTTGAAGATAATATATAAATAATATACGTGATCTATTTCAATAGCTTAAGCTTTTAGGTCAAATGTGGTTCACCACTTGTAAAAATCTTCCAGCACTCTTCCCCTTAGTACATAGAAAAATTGAAAAGATTGAGGAGTGCGACGGACGTTTTGGAAGCACAAATTATAGTTACCAAATCATGAATGTTCTTTAATTGAAAATGGTAGTCTAAATGAGCTTCCAATTGTTTTTTGATGTTGTCAAATTGATTCTGTTACCGCACGACTAAGCAGTAACAAATTTGCTGGGACAAATGAATTCAGTTGTCAAACATTTGTGTGAGCATCTTGTATATTGACCTTGGATTTCATTAGTCTCCCTAATTGATGAAGAAAATCTTGGGGCCTGAATGCTAGAATTTGTAATTTTGAACATGGTGCATTTTGTAGAGGAAGGATCCCTATAAGTTGTTGGTCTTTTGCAAATGTTTACGTACATAATACATATGTAGGAACATATGTACTCTTTTAATTATTGTCCATATGCTATACTTGCCAGACCCTTGATTACAAGTTACAGACTTACAATATGCACTTCATCACGATTCTTGTCTTTATAATGTCACTCCACAACTTAATTGAAGAAGAAAATAATATTTATTATGCATTGTATGTTTTCCTGACTGCTTTAATATTGGATTTAGTGAATTTAATTTCCATTTTGTAGATTTTGATTTAATAAACATTTAAGCCCCTATTTGGTAATAATTTAAATCCTGATTTTAATCTAAGTCAAAGTCAGCAATCAATTTTAACAACATATTTAATGGGTCCTACAACTTTTCAGCCATACATTTTATCAACTTTTATCAAAATCTATTAGATATCTGATTTTAATCCCTATCAAATAGGGGCTAAATGTGAACTGAGAATCGTCAGATTGTGTTTGAGTTTGTCTACGTCTGCTGATCCACTTCCAGTTCCCATATTTAACAATATTGTTCTCGTTACTTATTTAATTCATTGATACTTTAATACATTTCCTGTTGCTACCCTTTTTGAAAGCGTTTTTAACAGCTGAAAGTACAATTTTGCTGGAGAGGAAATACAAGTAGAATAGCTGGAAGATACAGTTTCCCATATTTTATGAATTGATACAATCATAGCCACTTGCGCATAATTAGGTTGTAATAAAAGTTTTCTGCTTCCTTTCACAACTGACATATCATCTGCTCATGCAGTTGCAGTCTAAGTTTAACGAAGTCATTCGAAAGAGCTGCAGCTAGCAAGGCACGTGCCATAATTATATTGCCTACAAAAGGAGATCGGTAAGAAGTTGATTGATCCTGAGCAATTTTATTGGATAACAGAATTGCAGTAAGCCGTTGTTTCCTAGTTCTCTGACCCTGTTGCATGTGTGTGGGAGGGAAATGGAATTAACATAAAGAGATTTTTTTATTTTTATATTGAGTTAATTTTATTATTTTTACATTTAAATTTAGATAAAATCCCAATTGTAGTTTCAATTCTCTTTTTCGAAACCATAATTGCCTGTAAAATTGAGAAATGTTCCATAGGTTTAGCAGCCAGTTGAACTACTGAAGCACATTCCATTGATAAAATGGATTGAATTTAAGTGGACTGGATTAAATATGAAAAAGAAGTTAAATTCTTGTATATTCTAGAACAGTCTTATACTATGTACCAAACATGCTCTAATTTGGACAGAAAAGGCAGATTGAACATTTAATACCAAAATTTCTTGTTTCCATTGTCCAGATGATATTATTGGTGCCTGCAGTTTTTCAAAAACCGATGGCCTTTGTATAACAGAAAAAATGAAACTACTGCCATTTAATTGAGTTAGGAAAGATGAGATTGTAGTTCTTGTTGCTGATGTACAACATATCTGGCTGCCCATTCTTAGTTTCTAAATTTCATTCTTTGACCTCTAAAATCTGTGAGATCCTGGACCTATTACAAAATCAAAGGTGACTTCGGCCACTACTTTTTTCACGGAAAAGGCCAACAAAACTATAATCTAAATGTGCGTATTGATACCATGAATACCCATGTCATTGTTGCAAGACAGTCCAACAAAATGAAATTCATAACTAATCTTGACTTAACAAAACTCTATGCAATAGATCCTAACTTTTAATAGGAAAAAAGATTTATACTGTGTAATTCTTTTTGTCTTGTACACAACCACATTCTATGCTTACGCTCTTAATCAAGTATTTTCCTGGCTTAACATCATTATATGACTAAAATTAAAAAGCTTATATTTATTTCAATTTTTAATATCAAATTAGTAATTCATTAGGTACGAAGTTGACACGGATGCATTTCTCTCTGTACTTGCTCTCCAACCTCTGCCGATGATGGCCTCTATCCCCACCATAGTTGAGGTAAGTTGCTGATAAACTGGTCTTCATTTCTGTAGGATGAGTTGAAATTTAACTCTTGTGGTGCAGGTTTCAAATTCCAACACCTGTGAGCTTCTGAAATCAATTTCAGGATTGAAAGTTGAGCCTGTGGAAAATGTTACATCCAAATTATTTGTTCAGTGCTCTCGGCAGAAAGGACTTATAAAAATATACAAACACTTGCTCAATTATCGAAGTACTTACATTTCTTTTCCTTCAGAGTTGCTATTTTTCATTCTTATTCAAATTATTACCTATGGAACAGTTATCTTGGGGCCTTGTGGTGATTGGAAAACATGTTAAATTTTTGGTACCTCCATTTGGATTTGCTAATATTGGTAGAAAATTAATACTTTCCATTAAAAATTTCCATTCTGTTGGTTTGTTTCTTAGTCAGTAGACTGCCTCTTAGGTTTGACTCTAATATCACACATAGTTTCTCTGTGGTCCCGTGATGCAATGTGCTGATAAATTTTTTATATTTTAAAGCTATATCCCAATCTTTGAAACATATCCTATCTATTTCTTACAATCCTTGTCACAATTTGGCAGAAAATGTATTCAATCTCTGCAATTTTCCGAATCTAGCAGGACTGAAGTACAAGCAATTAAGACGTGAATTCAAAGAGGTAAATCATTCCATATATTTTGTAGTTTCTTACGTTTGTTGAGATATCTGGACTTAGTTTATTGTTGGCTAATTTCTTATTCTTTAATATCATTCCAGGCTGTTGTTTGTGGCCTTTATCGGAGTGGAAGGATATATTTTCACCCAAATGATGAAGAAGCTTTAGTGGAAACTGACAAAGTAAGTAAATATTGCAGATATTTCATGACTTTGCGTTGCATCATGAATAAAGCAATTCTCTGTTTCATATACCATCACCTTAGATGAAAATTCAACACTTAATTGTGCTAACTTCACTTGTTGGGAGTCCTTTATTTCGAAACTGTGCTCATAACATTGTTGTGCCTTTTTGTCAATTCTATGCATTGGTATTTATTTCTCTATCAGCATGAAATCTGTTCAATAAAACCTCTGTTCAACTATTCAAGAGTCAAACGAGTGACAATACATTCAATGGTAATGGTTGCAAATTGCATAGCTAGTCCTTATTCCCAAAAAAAATTATTTTGAGCCTTGTCAATTTAAGCTCATCTTTACGATTCCCAAATTCATCTGAACTTCCAGTTTACGTGTGCAGGTGTTGTTCATTGCACCAGTACATGGAGGGAAGAAACTGCAAATCACATGTTCAAATGATGTTGAAGAAAATGAGAATTATATTCATCATCATGAAACTAAAGGGAACGATGAATTTTTTAGCCGTACATTGGATCTTACAAAAAAACGACTAGCAAACATAGTAAAAAGACCAGCAAGATCAGGGTCAAAGGTATACCATACCAAACAAATGGTGACTCCGATTATAATTAGGTTTGATATTAGTGTTTATATTATTTGAACTTCTGAAAACAGGCATCGGATTGGTTGCAAGGTCCAAAAGAGTGCATTCTAGTGCTTGGATGGCGCCCTGATGTCATAGAAATGATTGAAGAATATGACAATTATCTTGGACCCGGCAGTGTTGTGGTATTATTTTGTTTCTTTAAGCTTTCTTTAGGTCATTTACTGTTTCACTGTTATGGCGTCATCTAAATCTGTTGACTTCAAAATGCAAGCCAAAAAATTGTCGGCCACCTCCTTGTTTAGTCACGTTTTTGGGCCACCGGAGCTCCAATGGAGGATTTTTCTGGTGGTGACCGCCGTAATTTAAAGTTCTAGGAGATGTAGAACAAGAATTTGGTAAAGATTTATAACATTGCTTGCTAAAATCACCCATTATTTATAGATTTCCTAGGCTCTGGGGCTTCTTGGTCTTTTTGCATCATTTAGACACGTCGATTTATTATTAGTGAATCTTATGGAAAATCGTTGTTCCATGTCCTGCATCCTTCTCCCATTGAGTTGGTTGTTACCTTCACAAGACTCCCTAAATCATCTTTTCCACATGCTCTTATAACCACTTTCGCAATGCAGCGCTTCCCTTAGGCTGCTAAGTGGTTAACAAGATGTTTGTATGCTTCCCTTTGAGCAGACAACCATTTTCCTTTAGTGCTTTCGGTTTCTCTAGGCTTGGTGGTAGTTCAACCATCTTAAATGTTTTGGTTAGATTGTGAGGCTTCAATCTTAAATGTTTAAGTCTGCCTAGGTGAATGATAAACAGAGCTTCGCGTATGCAACTATATTAAGGTAAAGATATTCTGAACTTCTCGTGACGTCGTTTTGATTATGTTCTTGCCACCCTTTCTTGTGTCCTCATGGGACTATTCTATGCCACATAACTGTACATAGTAACAAAATCATAGATTACTCATGAAATGGCAAATATTTATATTTGTAGCTTGATCTCTAACAATGGCATCGAATATATGTTATCTTGGTCGGAGTTTTTGAGATGATATCATATGCTGTTAACACTGACATTTGCCTATTACTTGACTTGATATGCCTGTGTCTTTGAATACTAAAGTATTTCTTATTTATTTATTTATTTATTTTCTGAAACACAATCTCTTCATTAACTAAACTTGCCATTCAAAACTGGCGAAATAAAGCGAGAATACAAGAAATCCATCTGGAAAACATCCAAAATTAAACAATTACATGATGCAAGCTCCTGGGACACTCTGTTCCCCTCACGGGAACAAAGTATCATGCCCCATATCGACTAGCATGCAACGAAAATCTTGCATAAGCACCACACTTGGTGCAAAAGAAAAATCAGCAGTTAAGTTGTTCAAGTGTGCAGAGAATCGCGTTCTGTTTCGTGCATATGGATTCCATTCTGCTAAGCGAACAAGAGCTCCTCTAGTAAAGCCACCGCCTCTGCATCTTCTGATCTTAGCTGGCCTGAGTTTGATGTTGCGATGGGCCAAGCTGGATTCGCCACTTATAGCCCATCGTCTCCAGAGAGGCATTGCTCTCTGTGTATTTCTTGGTCCATGTGCATCATGGGCCTATGCATCCCTACCCAGATGCTAGTAGATTAGTGTAACAAATGTCGTGGAAAAATACGATATATTTAGCCATAACATGCGAGTCTTTTATTCTAGAATTGTATGGGCCTACATGGTTTACCATCGAATGAGATCAAGTTTCCCACAATTTATTCAAGTCGTGGAAAAATATGATATAAATAGCCATATAACATGCGAGTCTTTTATTCTAGAATCATACGGGACTACATGGTTTACCATCGAATGAGATCAAGTTTCCCATAATTTATTCAAGTTCATCGCTGTCCGTATTATATTAAAAACTTCAGATATTATTGGGTCCCATCATATAAAACCTCTAACATGTTCTTAAATGCACATCTGCAGGAAATCTTGTCTGATGTTCCATTGGATGACAGAAACAAGGAAAGCAAGCTTGCTGGTCAAGGGAAACTTAAAAATATTCAAGTTTCTCATAGGGTACCGTGCATCTTTATAGGATTTGACATATAAACTAATCTTTTGCTTCCTACTTCATCCACATCCCTTTACCTGTTGATGTTCTTTTCATGTGTTGCAGGTTGGAAACCCAATGGATTATGAAACTTTACAGGATACCATCGTCAACTTTCACAGGTCCTTCAAGAATGATGAAGATATTCCCTTCTCTGTGGCCGTAATATCAGATAGAGGGTGGCTAGTTGGAGGTAAAACGGATGTGATGTTTGTTCGGATTTAAATAAGTGCGATTTTGATTACTTCTTTTTGTTTAGATTCATCAAGGGCAGACAAGAATTCTGCATATTCTCTTCTTCTTACTGAAAATATCTGTGGTAAACTTGGAGTGAAGGTATGGATGCTTTAATACAAGTATTAATGTTATTAACACCTATTCTGAGTGTTTCAAAATCTCGTTTCTTTTAGTTTGTTGTCATATAAACCTTGGACCAGGATTTTTTGTCTTCCCTATTTGATGGTCTCAAACACAATCACTTCTCAACAAAATTTTTTCTTTTCATTTAATAACATTATTAAGTGTTCATTTGGAAATCTCCCTACCTCTCTTTCCACATCTCACAGGCTTGGCAGGTTCTCATGGATTTTGAATCTTTTCTGTTTTCTTCAGTATGTTTTACTCCCTTTTCAAACTTAATTTGCAGGTGCAAAATCTTGTTGTTGAAATTATTGATTCAAAATTAGGAAAACAGGTAACTCTTCCTTTTATGGACCTGAATGGTTTTCGACATTAGTATATGAGTTTATATTCTCTCTTTTTGAAGCAATCTTTGTTGTACAGATAAATAGAATCAGACCGTCCCTGACTTATATTGCTGCAGAGGAATTAATGAGCTTTGTAACAGCTCAAGGTTCGAAAATTATTTTGCGTTCACTTCTCATAAAGTGATGTATCAACAAGATTTCACTTGACAATGATAAACTTCATTTTGTTTGACAGTGGTGGAAAATAGTGAATTGAACGAGGTTTGGAAAGACATTCTGAATGCAGAGGGAGATGAAATATATGTAAAGGTATGATGGATTATGTTCTATCTCATACTTGTACATGTAAAATACCTTCTTGACAAGGATGAAGAATAAGTTTAGGTTGCTAAGTTGTGAAATCTATGAAGAGTCGATTACACTATGAAGCACAGACTTGTGTTGATGTCCAACGTATTGGACGTACACATCTTAGAGACTCCGCATAGCGTCTTACTTTTTTTTTATTTAATTTATAAATTCTTACACGAATGGGACATGGCCTTGACGCACTTTATGCACTTATCACATGACATGAAGTATAGTTTCTTCAAATTTTTAACTGGTGAGGGTCATGAACCTGACACGTCAAGGACATGACAAACCTCATTTTTAATTATATCAGTATAGTCATAATGTTAGGACCAAAATGCTGGAGGTTATAACTTAAGAGGTTAGTTACAAAAATTATTGTTTTGACTTGGTTATCCTTGGTGCAAGTGTTATAGAGGTAATGAACTACATAAATAATTAACAGCCAAGCTACTCCTATAGAAAAATCGTGTAAAGAAACAGTACAGAATACACACATGCAGGAGTGGGTGGGAGTGTCTGTAAGTTTTCTGTGGATCATTTTTCTGTACAACCGAATTTTTCCAATAATTAATTAAGAGCATGTCAAATCCAATGTGGAATTATTTATAAAAGAGATAAACATAGTTTAGTACATATATCTATATAATGTTGGAAATATGAAAAGTCGTCTTAAATCTTTAATGTAACATAACATATATTCTTTGTCCTGAATAACTTTAGACAAACATTTTATTTCATATTAAAGGACCTTTAATATAACATAGCATATATATTTAGCAATTTACCGATAATTATTACTATGTGGAGGCAAGTTCCTTAGTACGGGATCTAGAGAATTATAACTTATTACAACGTGAAGTTTATTCTTATTTATAATTGGCTTGAGTTGGCACCAAATTTTTTTATGACTACATGGATGTTAATTTGTATCACTATAGAGAGGTCGTACTGCAATACATTTAGATAAAAATTTTGAAAATAATTACATATACTATATACACTTATGGATATATGAATACATTTATTTCATTTGCATTAGTTATACAAAGTACAATCCAAACTTTTATATTCATACATTATATAGCCACTTAAAATCCGGAAGATTAAACCTATACTTCGACTTGACGCATACTGTGTCCTACTTTTTTGAAAAGTTACGTGTCCTCACATCCACATTGTCCGTGTCCTTATAAGTTCTTTCTATCATTGTTTTTCATTGGACAGGACATTGGCCTCTACATGATAGAAGGGGAAAATCCATCATTTGCTGAGCTCACTGAAAGAGCACATCTAAGAAGAGAAGTTGCCATTGGTTATGTGAAAAGCAACAAGAAGGTACCCATCTTTCGTTAGGGTTGATATTGATTAAAATGATCGTATAGTAACGAAAGAAAGGATTGATGCAGTCGACCCCGAACTTATTGGAAATAATTTTCAATTCTTTGCAGGTTATAAATCCAATTCCCAAGTCAGAACCTCTATCTCTTGAACTCACAGACTCGCTGATTGTGATATCTGAACTTGAAGGAGAACAGCCAGTAGTTATGTAAAATCCCTTTATTATCATTATTATTATTATTATTATTATTATTATTATTATTATTATTATTATTATTATTATTATTATGAGGTTCTTTTTACTGATACTGAGAAGTAGAAATTAAAATTTATTGTACAGAGTTCAGGAAAATGTAAATTCAGGGATTAGTTACATGTTGAAAATTTTCCATATGGAAAATTGATTATTTCTGATTTTTTGAAGAAAAATGGCCCAAAAAATAAAAAATAAAAAAAATCTTGAAACGTTTGCAAAATTGGTTGATGGAGTTTTAAATTAATATTGGCATATTGAATCATAATTTGAGTAATTCTGATTGTACAGAATTCATTTTACAGAATAAAACCATCTCTCTCACAAAGGTCGGCCCCACTGCAAAGGCCAATGTAATAAAAAATGATAAAAAAAAATTTGACCCCACATGGAGTGAGACTTTTGTAAGAGGTTTGTGAACTGGGGGTCTCTACCCCAGCTCGGCTCTTATAATTTAATATTCGTTGGATTCTTCAATAGAGATTAAATTTTTGTTTTCTTACCCCCTTAGATATCTGTTTAATTATTAGTAGTTTCACGAAAGGAGACCAATCTGACTTTATGACAACGTCAGATTAATGTGTACATCAATTTGAAAGGTTACAAGTAAATAACACGAACCGCTATATTTCAAACCTTTATACCCCATATTCACTAATGGTTCTGTTTGAAAAATTTTATGATATGTTCAAAAATAAAAAATGTAGGTCCAGTTATGCCTGATCATAATCATGACTGAAACGGAACAACGATCCAAGAACTTCCACGAAGTTGGTGTTATACAGTTTGGGCCAACAAGAGAAATGGATGTTTAGGCTCTAGAAAGATTCGGTGTTGCTTATAAAAGCAGGGAGTGATAGCAGATGAATTGGTTACAAGTTGACTACGTTGTGGACGAGGTTATAATTGACTCATTCACTTCGTATTATATAGATTATGAATGCTCCAACTAACACTTCGTATTTCAACCCTTTTTTTCCATGCTTTACATTACACGTATAGATTGTTGGTTAATGAATTTTAATCATCAAAATAGAAAATTAATTTTTCTTTGAAGATTAAAACCATGTAAATAAGGATTTTAATGACTTTGAGATCATTGGATTATAAAATCCTTACACATAGAAAAGAGAGATGATAACCTTTTGAAGAAACTTTTAATGGCATAGCCAATTGCTTCCTCCCTTGTTCTCCACTAGGTGTATTTCCTTTTCAAGAAAGTGAAAAGTGGCTAATCCTAATTCTCATAGAAAATATGCCTATAAAGTGCATATTTATAACGCTCTATTAGGGTTTGGAAATTGCACAAATTTCCTTAGACTTTATTGTAGAATGTCAATTAAGTTACATACCTTTTATTGGAGCCAAGAGAGAGGCTCCAATAGATGTTTTCAATTGGGTCAACTCTTGACCAATTGAGATATATCTATTAATCCCGACTTATTCTACCAAAAAATCGAGATTGCACTCTTGAATCGAGTGATAGTTGTAGAAGCAAATTATGATCCAATAACAATATCATCTGATTATCGTTCCACAAGTCAACCCACATTTGACTGCCAATATGTTGAAACTAGCAAAATGACCGTTTTGCCCTTCAACATGTATTACCCTCTAAGTTCCATTTTCATACGACAAATTCGTTATGATCAAATCACAATGTAAAGTCCAACGATCTTATCATCGACTACTGAGCTCAGATTTAGTTTCCCTAGGAAAAGACCTTAGAGTAACGATCGTCTCATCTCAATGATTAATGGATTCCACTATTGTAAGTATATGATCTCTAATTGTTTCGGCCCGATTCCCAAAGCACTGAGATCAATCTTCTATTAAAACTTCACTAATTGGTACCTCAAAGAACTTGAACTAACAATCAAAAGTACATTACTCACTCAGAATTTAGGTGACATATTTGATAATCAAGTAGATTCTCATTTCAAACGGTCACAAATGAGCCATCTACGTGATTCCGTTTAATGTGCATCGAAACACATTATTGTTCCTATTTCAAGATCTAGACAAATCTTAATAAGAACAATACAATCTTATCAACCTAAAGCATCCAAACTTTATGAACCGATTGTGAACTACATAATTTTGATCACATCACGAATTGTGTCTTACTATATCCGATCCATCGAATATACAATTTGTGACATCCTATATGATCATAGAACTTTGGATAATCACTTCAAATTATAACGTACAAATAAACGAACATCAATTCATAATGTGATTTTACAGAACACTACTCAAAGAATGGGCATCAATCTAACATAGATGTGAACTCCTCTCGTCACCATAAAAACTATTCTTACAGCATAAGGGCCTGAATATTTTGAAAATTTGACTACTAACTTGAGCTTTATACTTGATTTGTTGGCTAAATATTCTAAACTTACTCTAGCAGGTGTTGGATATTTGTTCAAAATCAATGAAATGATAATGAACTAATTGTTGGGCTCAATTGTGGAATTGGTAGAATCAAAAGAAATTGAAAAATGCAAAATTTGATTTTTTGCCCATGCGTACACACATGCTTAATTTTGTGCATACACGAGATGTGTTTTGGCAAAATCAGAATTAAATTTGCTTCTACTATGCGTACACAAGGTTTATACTATGCGTACGCATAGTGTTAAAAAATAGCCGTTTGCTGGTTTTTCAATTTGAAACATGAGAACCGTTTTGGATTAAAAGTTCTTACTTTTCATCTTGTTTGGCACCATTACGTGATGTATTGATTGAGACCTATAAATAGGTGATGAATGATCAATACAAACACATTAGAATTATTGAAAACATCTTGAAATCCATATATCATTCCATATTGAAGCAAACTATTAATTTATATTCATATTTAAGATCTTCCTTCGTGTTCTTGAAGTTTTGGAGGATTGCGCTTATGCTTTGATGTTAAATTCTTTACAAGGCTTGATATAATCATACAAACTATTTGCCAAAACCCTTAAACATCTCATTCAATCCTGAGAGGGGGCAAATATAGTTTGAGGACAGCGATTACGCGTTCGAGCCTTCATATTCGTTATGTTCTTCATATTCTTGATCACATTTCTGGTTGTTTGTTTCTTCTCCATTTTCCCCAGTTGATGTAAATTTTTCAACAATCTCAAAGTATATCTTGTGATGGAGAACGATATCACTTTGGCGAGATCAAGTTGAGGAAATCCAGTTCCTGGTTAGATATTTGATGGGCGAACTTCATGTGAAGGCTAGTACAAATTGAAGTTTCTAATGATGATGGAATTGAAGATCTCCTACATTCTAATTCCGGATTTGGCGATGCTACCGAAATCAACCTTTCTTTGCCGAAAGAAATTTGGAAAGATTGAAAAGAAATGATTTCATTGAAGAATAAAAGAATAGAATCCATCATTATGAATTCAATTCCGGTAATATTCATTTATCTTCTAAAATTCCACTTTGGTAAGCGATATAATGATCTTCTCACATGCAATTTAGATGTTTTGTTAAAATATATACACATTATCAATGATGATATTCCACATGAATTTAATTTCGGTTGTGCATAATTTGTTGCATGTGTTTGTGAAAGTGGAAATATGGAAATCATGATGTTGCATGAAAATTAACATTGCATATTCATTTGTAAAGCATGTTTTATATACATTTGATGAATTTGAATATGAATTTTCATGATCATCTAGAACTTCCTATTAGATGAAAGATATGAATATTGCATCCACAATTGTGATTGCATAGTTATTGATGAGTTTGTTTCACTCATGATTTTCGTACAATTTTAGCTTAATTAAATGCTAGATTTTATGAGTGTAGAACGTTTTTGATGTGTTTGTTAGTGTTGTTTTGAAGATAAGGAAAAACAATGTGAAAAGAAGTATTAAAGTGGACAAAGAGGCTAAAAACACGAAATTGGGGCAGAAAGATGACGCTTAGGCGCTGCACTTATAGCGCCTAGGCGCTACGAAGCGAAGAAAAGATGAAAATTGGACTCGAGAGGTAGCGCCTAGGTGCCACAACCATAGTGCCTAGGAGCTGCGATTGGCGATTTAGGGCGCGTTTTTTGGGTCGTTTTTAAAGCCATAAAAACCCTACTTTTACATAAAAACGTGGGGGCACCTATAAATACATCCTCCTCATACTTTTGAGGGGTTCTTGATATATTGGAGAGAAAAACAACAAGAAGGGAGATTCAAAGGAGAAATTTAAGAAGATTAACACCAAGAATTGAAGATTGGAAGAATTCATTGGAAGAGGAAGGAGATCTTGGTGCAAAAATTTCACTTTTTCTTCTACATCTTTATTTCAAACTTGGTGATGTATTCTAAGACAATTTCCTATTTTTCTTCCATTATTATGAGTAGTTAAATTTGGTTTTAGGACGAACAATGTAATCTTTTGGAATCCTTTATTTCATGCAATTGAGATTCTAGTGCTTTTATATTTCATGTGTTGATTTTAATGTTGTTCTTAATACATTTAATTACTTGATCACTAATTAGATGATTTGTGAACAATGATTGCGTAGATATGCGGATTATTTGTTTAGACCACATGTTAAAATTCGGTAAATTGATGTAATGTGTAGAGATACCTATATTGATTGCTGCGATCGTGTGTGAATTCTTAGAACCAATGTTTCGTTTAATTAAGTTTAATTTGCATAAAGATATGGAATTAAACTAATTAAATAGGCTCAATGAGAACTCGAGAGGGGTAAGTTGAATACAATAGAAGAATTCGACCGAACACTACCTTAGGTTTTATGAATCTTGATTTATGAAGTAAAGGTAACCAATAGGTGAAATTGTTCCGCCCTAACGTCCATTTACTGTTTAAATTCTTAATCACTTTTCGTTGAATCCAATCGCATTTTTAAGTCTTTAGAATAAAAATCACATTTAATCATTGAAATTTATTAAATATTACGGAATGAGAATTTATTATGTGATCTATGATCTACTTCGCTGATTTACTATATGTTGAGTAGGAAAGACCTGCTGAATATTGTTAAGCAATGTGGGATTCCCTTTGTAGTTTCAAGCTGAGACCGAAATCGGTTAATCAAAACCATGATAACGAACATGTCTTTTGATGAAGTATGCATAAATTACATGGATCTACTACCATGAAATTATGTTTTGAAAGAAACAATTGGTTTTCT